AAGGGACAAGTACACAGAGCTGTGGGTCCTTGGAAGAGCTGGAAGAAGAGACAGGAAGGGGCACAGCTGGAGGCACAGCTGGAGCTAGAGGTGGGAAGGCCCAAGTGTCAGGGGCTGCGTCAGGGGCTTAGCAGCTTGTTTTCTAGAGGGTCAGGTCACCCTTCTTATAGGAGCTCCACGCAGCCTTACTCCTGCTGGTTGAGCCACCCAGAGGTTCTGGGAGCCATAAAAGGGAGGTGATAGAGAGCGAGGGGAAGGAAAGGGAGGAGAAAAAAGGGAAGGCGCCTGGGAAGTGAGGAGCCAGCATGTCAGAGAGGAACAAGCTGTCAGTTACTACAGGAAGTCTGCTAAAGCTGGCCACTGCTGGGGAGGCAAACGGGGATGGGCAGAGAGCATGGAGAACAAGACTCAGGTCGATTTATGCGTTTGTCTTTCCATTCATTCATCCCATAAAACAATGGATAGCAGTATTGAGAAACAAGGGCTAATTGAGGTGTAGGCAAAAGGCTAAGGAATTAATTATAAAAAAGGAAACAAAAAACTGTTTGACAGGTTGAAGTACAGGTATTGTAGGAGGCAGCCAATTTCATTGGAGATATTTAAGCCACCATGAAGCAAATACACAAGCAGGAATCCCCTAGTACTCCCCAGCTCTGTGGCTCATCTCTTCCCAGACCTCCACATCCCAGTCCATTTATTGCTATTACTGTGTTGACTCCTAGCCCTGGCCTATACTTGCTGTGTGACCTCAGGTAAGTTATCAAACCTCTCGGATCCCCAGTTTTCTAAGCAGGAAAGTAGGAATGATACCAACTTGGAGAGTTGTCATGACATTCAAACATCACAGTGCATGGAAGGGGCACTTTGCCAAGTGCCTGGCACCTGTGTGCTCAATGCAACTTGTATTGCTGTTGTCAACAGCAGCAGTAGCAAGTTCATTTACCAAATCTCAGGCCTCTGTCTTCAGGCTGGAGAGGAGAACAGAGGCCATTCCCAGCATCCCCCATCCCTACCCTCCAGCCTTTGGGGAAACATGAGAAGCAGAGCTTGAGGAACTCATGTGTGCCCCCCACACCCCTTAATCCTTCCTGAACTTGGAGGGGGGGGGGCGGCACCACTGCCACACCTGCACACTCTGACATCTCCTGCCTTTGGGCAGAGAAAGCAATTTCAGAAATGACATGTTGCCAACAAGCAGAAATCAGCTTGTGAATTAAAATGTGTTGGAGTCAGGTGACCCCGGGCTCGGGGGCGGCTGCGTGAAGACAGCTGAGATTAGAGGCTGTCAGCTGCAGGAGGGGCCATGCAGGAAGGGGTAGTGGACTGGGGCTACCATTGCTCCCCAGGCCTTTGGCCACCCTGGACTTGTTGAGGCGCAGTGGGGGTGGGAGGTCAGGTCTGCCAAGGCTCAACTGGCCACTCTCCCTAGTGGGGCTGGTGGGGGGTCCAGCGTGGCTCCCCTGAATGGCTCTAGCATAAACACACTAATGGACCTGGGAGAGCCAGGGAGGAATGTGGGCCCCATAGCCCCTGGGGACTGGGGAGGGGAAAGCCAGCCTCTGCACTACAGGTATGCAGGAAGGAGAGAAAAGGAGAGGGCGGAGGTGAAAGAAGGAGGAAGGACAACTCCAGGAGGAGGAAGGAGCCCAGCAGCCATACTGAAATCTCCTCCTCCCTGACACCTGTTTGAGTTTCCAGGCCTTGGAGGCCCTGTCCTTATCTCCTAGGGAAGTAGCAGGAGAAGGCTGTCGATCTTCAGCCCAGCTATTTTCTGGGGCCCTGGATATGGCAGGGCCCCGCTCTAGTTCAGTTCCATGAAATGGAGATCATGGCCGTAGGTACTCATGGGGCTGCCACCATGATTAACAAGGAAACGGCCTGACCTAGGAGTTCCCCAGGCAATGGGACTCCCACGGTCACATCTCTGAGTGCTGAGATCCTGCATTCTAGTGATCTGTTTCCTTGTCTGTGACCTCTCTGAAGGCCAGCCTAGGTCTCATAGCCATGTCACCCCAGCACTCTTACATATCTAGCACACCTTAGGTTACCCGTCATGTGGCTGCATGAATAGTTACATGAAGGGACCCCAAGGGAGAGTGAGTATGAACTAAGGATGGGGAGTTAAGGAGAAGGATCCCACCTGCTTTCCCCTTCCTGAATGTCCCCACCCTGTCTCAGGTCTTTGCTCTAGTCCTTTACAGCCCTTCTCTAGAACCAGGCACATGAACAGATTATTGAATGTGTCTTCAGGTGTCTGGGAAGCAGAAGAATTGACTTTAGGGCCGTGTCAGCTCCAGGAGTTGGGGTCACCATAGTCACACTCCATAGAGCCTAAAACATGGCAAGAACCAGAACAGGGCAAACAGGGATGAGGACTTCTGGGGTGGTGAGGAGGAAGGTAGGCTCGAGGTTGTGGAGAACAAGTCTGACTCGTGATTTTTAAGACAGGAAATGTCCCACCTCCAATGTTTTCTTCACCTGCTTCAGGAATCCCATTGGGAGAGAACAGTCTCAACCCCTGCTCAAAGCAAAATCATCACAGAAGCAACCTAGCAATTGGAGAAGATTCAAGAGGGCAGTGGGCAAGAGCACAGGCATGAGAAAGGCCTGAGTTTGAATCCTGGCTCTGCCAAATGCTTTAAGCTTCCTGAACCTCAGTTTCTTTGTCTGCAAAATGGGAGTTATGATTCTTACTCTGCAGAGTGTTAGTGAAGATAAATAGGAATTCCACAGGGGTGGGGAAGAAAGGAAAGCTTATCTCTGTAGAAGAATGCCAACTAATAAAGAGAAGAGATGATGGAATTAGGGAATAAGCACTTTGGATGGATTTGGACACTTGTGAATGCTGCAACTACTGGTTAAAATGTTGTTGGGCACAGGATATTCCCATAGTCTCAAAGCACCACCCAGGGAATGAGTCATGGGTCACAAAGGGAAAAGGGTGACTTTCCACTGGGCCAACTGGAAGAAACCACCTTAACCAAGTTATGAAATCCAATATCAACAATGATAGGACAAAATGATACCCTGTGGCTCCTGACCATGTGCATAGATAAGGACACTCAGGCAACTTATTGAAATTTTAGGAAACAGACCAATCTCAGTTGAGAGATGTTCTATAAGACATCTGGTTTGAAGTCTTCCAACAACCAATATCATGGAAGTAAAGAGAGCAGGAGGTCTACTCTGGACTACAGAAAAGATTTGATAGCTGAATGCAATGCCTGAGTCTTGGATGGATCCTGCACTGGGGTTGGGGGAGGAGCACCATAAAAGATTAAAAAAAAATTTTTTTTTGAGACAAGCTTTTATTATGTAGTTCAGGCTGTAGCCTTGAACTAACTATGTAGCCCAGGCTGGCCTTGAACTCCTACCAATCTCCTACCTCAGCCTCTTGAGTGCTGGGATTACAGGTGTGCACCACCACGGCTGGATCAAAAAGGACACTTTGAGGTGAATTGGAGAAGTTTGAAGATGGATGGATCGCAGGTAACACTGTGCCAATGATAAAACTCCAAAATGTTCTCATTTTTAGGAGGTCTGTGATAAAGTACTAGATTGCCAACGTCTGCAAAGTTCTCAAAGTGGTTAGACAGAGTAAATATATATAGAGAGATACTGTGTGTGCAAATAAGGCTAAATGCTTTCTAAAGGGGGGGTGCCACGGGTAGAAACCTACCTAGTGATTGTCTCAACAAGCCCTGATCTCCTAGGAAGAGTGGCAGCTTGAGCAGCTGAAGATGGAGAGGCCTGAGGGCCTGTTTGGGAACCGGTTTATGGGCAGGAGCAGGAAAGCTCAAAGAGGGGTGGGGGAGGCTGAAGGTGGTGTAGGGTATAGGGTAGAAAGAGTAAGGGAGGCAAAACAGCTAGGTCTGTGTGCTGGCAGGGTGGCCTTTGGAGCCTTGCCTATCCACACCATGCCACATCCTCCCCTGTCTGCAAAAAGGGAAGAGGGTGCACCACGTGTGAATTTCAAGGGAGAAAGCAGGTAAGAAATCCCTTAGTAAGGTGGAGGCTGCCACCGTCTGTGGAGTCGGCTGTCTGCCATTGCTCAGAACAAGCTGGAGTTCAGGCCCAGGGACACAGGGCCCCAGAAACATGTTAGGACTGTGATGAAGGTAGGAAGGAAGATAACCTCAGGACTGCCTCCCTCCCAAGTAAGATCATGTGGTGCCCAGCAGGGCCACAGAGCTGGGGCAGGGCAGGTATGGGTTGGGAAATAAGCACTGCCTGGTATCCTTTTTCAGCAAATCATCCCTTGCCCCAGACCCTCAGAAGCTGTGGCTTCCCAGAGCATGCTGGGAAGGCAGTGGGACAGGAGGAGGGACTTGGGGTTGACATGTAAATGGCCTAAACCATTGCATGCTAGCACCTTGTTTCTCCTGCCAGCCCCAAATCCCTGAAGACCCCTACTTTGCTCTATCCTACTTCTGACCGTCTCACATCACTGGCCACAGGGTAAGGGCTCTAGAAATAATTAACTCCAGGGAACACCCAGGTTCCAATCTGACTTTTTTAGGGGGTGTACCAGGGATCAAACTACGCCACAGGGTAAGGGCTCTAGAAATAATTGTTAACTCCAGGGAACACCCAGGTTCCAATCTGACTTTTTTAGGGGGTGTACCAGGGATCAAACTCAGGACCTCTTGCTTGTCAGGCAGGCACTGTGCCGCTTAGCTACATCCCCTAGGCCTCCAATCTGATTTCTATGCATCACCTGAGATAGGATTATATCCTTCCTCTAGGCCTCAATTTACCCAGAATCCATAAAGTGGAGCAACCTCTGCGTGCTTCACCTGCGCCCGAGGAGACACAACCATGTGGAGAGGAAAGACTTCACACTTTGGAATCGAGGAGATCTGTGTTCAGATCTGGCACACCCTCTTGCTAATGGCAATTAGGAATTTCCTATCTTTTCTTAGCCACTTTGGGTGGTGGCAGTGTCCAATGTGCAGGGTCATTGCAATAAATCAACACAAAATAAGTACAAATAATTGGCATGTAGTTTTTTATTGGCTAATTGTCTTTCCACCACCAGGATGTCATCCCCACTTGGTCTCATACACTGTGGTACCCCAGCACCCAGGGAGGGAGTGCCTGGCATTCAATAGGAACATAATAAATAATCACAGAAGGATGTGGTGGGCACTCAACAAGTGATAACTACCATAAAATGTGCTGGGACAAAAAGCAACGGAAGTTCATGTTTGTTGGGAAAGGAAACTTTAGAAAGCAAGAAATAAACTTCAGGGTTAGTATGAGTTTATCTGTCTACCTGTCTGCCAGAAAATAGAGGATTGCAGGGCACCTGGGGTTAACTAGAGCAGGGGACAGACTCTGTGTGCCCACGACAGCCTGGCAAGAGCATGCATGAATGGGGAAGGCTGGGGCAGGGGCCCCTTGGCAAATTGGACAGCCTCCATACATCTTATCCCTTGCACTGATTTGATGCAGCCAGTTGGGAACGATGGCCCAGTTTAGCAGTGGGACTGGTTTTTCAAGGAGTCCCTGGGCTTGGGCTGGTATTTAGGCTTTGGCTCCCAGGCTCAGGGTAAGTCACATCCCCCAGGGCCAGATCCATGGAGACGTTCAGTAAATATTGATGGAACAATTCCCCCGCTGTGTGACTTTGAGCACAGACCTCCATCTCTGGGCCTCATCTCAAACATGTGCACAGTGATGTAGCCCCAACCGCCTCCCAAGGACAATGGAGAAGTCAAGCGGTTAAAGAGCTAGAAGTGTTTCTGAAAAGGGAAAAAATGCTTTACAAAGGCCAGGTGTGGTCATCCTTGTTGTCATTATTATTATTATGAGCAAAACACTTTTGCCAGAGCTAAAGAAGGGGGCCTGGGACCCAGAGGAGCAGAGACTCTACAAATACTTTGCAAGGAGGATCCAGATCAAGCCAGCAGGGCACATCGCAGAGGAGACGCATGCTCATCAGCTCCAAGACAGATCATGGGACCCTGAGCTATTGCGACCTCCCCCCGTCCTCTGGCATCTAGCTCAGTGGGGGACCCAATCAGGCTATGCTGCATTTCCCCAGTCAGAGGGCTTCTGAGGGAAACACAAACTCCACATGTGCTGCCTGTGAAAGAGAAACTATATAAATAACATAAATATTTTCCCATATATCTTAGCTATATAAATATTCTCTTTGCCCTAAAAACTATATATGTGAGGTAGACAAAAATACCCTGTGAGCATTTCCCTTAAAGCTACAGAATGAGGGGTTATTGGTCACTTGTTCCCAGGGGCCCCAGAAGGGCTAAGGTGGCTCTTTAGGGGTAACAGGGAGAGAAAGAGCTGGAAGCAAGAAGAGAAAGGAAGAGGGATGGCTGGACAAAGAAGATCTCCACAAGCTGAAGGGTCAGTGACCTGGGTGTCACTGCTAGTGGCCAGCTATGACCTAGGTCATCTGAGTCCACCCCTTAGCCTCATGCAACCAAGCTCCAACAGCCATAAAGTTGGGGTACAGATGGAGTGTTAGCAGATCAGGATGCCTTTGGCCTCACACTGCTTCCAAGTGCCTTTTTCTGCCAGTGCAGCCCAGGGCTGAGCCAATGTAGAAGCGGGGTTGGAGTCACAGAGCTGCAAGATGGATCAGGCTGGCAGAGAACAAGTTTCCACTCAGAGGGAAGTAGAACAAAACTAGAAAACCAGGTTGTAACCCTTTTTTCTCCTTCTGCCAAGAGGTGGGCCAGCTGCCAGGGTAGCAAAGTCATTCTGGCAAGGGGAATCAAGTCAGTTTGGCTCTGCCATCAAAGATCCTTCCAACCCTCCCAGACTGCCTTGAGTCACCAGAGGGTGGCTCCTCTGGCTGTGAAGGTCTCAGGGTGGCTACTGGGCCCAGCCACTGGCCTTCTTCCTGGAGCTGGAATTGCCAAGGGTTCTGTGCACTCGGCTGATGCTGGATTTCCTGTTTCAGCAGAGGGTCAGCAGCCTTGGGTTCAGGGAAAAAGGAAGTGTACAAGAGGGCACGGTAGGCCAGCAAAGCAGCCACAAGTTTCCCAAAGGAGGTCACTTCCTCCCTGCTGGCCTCAAGCCCTGCTCTTGGGAAGCACACAGCCTCCAGCAAACTGACCCCTGCGAGATCTTTGTCCTGGGCTAGAGATGTGCACTGCTCTCTGGAAACCCTCTACCTGGAAACCCTCCTGGTGGTGCAGACATCTGCATGCACCTATGAGTGGATACAGGTTCTCTCCTCCTTCTACTCCGGGCCTTGGAAGTTAGTTAGCAAAGTCACTTCTATTCCTCACATTGGAGCCCGAGCAAGGGGCTATTACTAAATGAAAGGGCCGCCAAGGGGCCAGGCTTAGCAGACTCTGCCAGGACAAAAGCCTGAATTAGACAAGCAGTCGTGAGAACAGACGTGCAACACGAATCGCAGATCATGAGTCCGGGGGGTCCTTTAGCAACATAAACATCAGCAACTTCGGGGCCTCGCAGCCCAGGTGGACCACAGCACGGGGGCCAGTAGAACACACTCCAGGGCAAGCTGAAACACTGAGCTTGCTGCATCCCAGCTGGCACCAAGTGACTGTTACCCTCCTATGGGATGCCATCAGTTTCCTTTGACCACCAGGGAAAATGGAAAGGAGTCACTGTCTTCCTGCCCCACCGCAGGTACACTGTTTGAGTCCCACTCTGGCGACTAGCGGTCCCACCTTTCTCATCTGCCTTGGAAGTCTCACTGAACAGAGCTGGATAGCTGTGAGAAATTCAGCTATGGAGACAACAATGAGGTCTCCGTACAGCTGGCTTTGAAAAAAAAAATCAAATCAAGGACATGAGGCTTGCCAGCATGGATCTAACTTGATTCCACTAAACCCAGAAAGATTCCCTCACTCCAAACAGCTCCTAGGACCACCTCCAGAGCAGTGTGGGTGTATGGCACCCAGAGCTCACACTGCAATCTGAGCAAGGCTAGAGGACTGGATTACCCAGCTTCCAGCTGGCCCTGTCTCTCCTGCATAATCCCAGTGGCTTGCTGGCTCGAGGCCATGCATCCCAGGAATGGGAGATGGCAGGATACCCCTCCTTCCCTGCACAACTTCACTCCTGCCCTCCTCTAGGTCTCCTTTGTTTCCCTCCATATCACTTTCTACTCTGCTTTCCTGCTCCAAATCCTCAAAAAGTTTGGAGACCCTTGGACTCAGGGCAGGACCTTTTGCTTCAGTTTGCTGAGTATTATGGGAGGCAAGAGGCTGGCCAAGGATGGAGTGGGGACAGAAAAGTGAGGAGTGGCACACACGTGTGCAGGCAGGTCCATCAGTGTCCACATACACATTGTGTATACCTGTTCCACGGGGCCACCAAGGTCCTGGAAGCACAGGCCAGCTCACCATGCAGTGTCTAGCGCTTACAGGTATATACAAGCTCCTGCTGCATGCACTGCTGGCATTCCACGTAGCAGCACCACTGAACCTGGCAGTGGCAGGAGAAGGCCACCAGGCGGCTCTGGGTGTCATAGCCACGCCCACAGCACAGGCTGCTGCAGCTGGTCTCCCGGGAGCACACCCTGCCAGCTGTGCCTGGAGAATACTTGCTGGGCCGGCAGAAGCTGGGGGAGTCCTCCATGTAGACCAGGTCAATCGGGCGGGGTGCCAGGCCTTTGGCAGAGCCACCTGGCTTGGCAGGTGCCCACAGCTCCAGGTGGCCCAAAGCTTCGTTGGTGGCACTGGACACCTTGACAGCTGAGTCGTAGCGCAGCTTCAGCACCCGGCCGGTCTCACGGAATGGGGAGAGCTGCTTCCAGCAGGTGCGGACAGCACAGGATCCTGACACTCCGTGGCACTTGCAGGTGGTCCTGAGGCCACTCTTCACAGCCTGCGGAGATGCAGATGAAGACCTGGTCAGAGGTCTGCCTCAGAGTGCCAACATGGCAGTGGGACCTCAGCAGGAGGAGGAGAAGTAGACAGGAAAGGTCCTGTGGGGGAAACACATAGGACCTGCACTGGCCCACGAGGCATCTTCAGGCAAACCAGCAAGAGGCTCCCATTGTTCTCAGCAATGCACACTGTGGTGAGGACAATATGAGCCAGACCTCACCCCTAGCTCCTCCCCTTGGTCCAGGGTTCTTCAGCAATACTGAGCCAGCAAAACTGAATATAGCTAAGCAGCCTTGATTTACACAACTCAGTGATTAGGACACAAACACAGAATTCCATTTCCTAATGAATTTCAGTAGCGTGTTGCAGCACATTCCTGTAATCCCAGCTGCTAGGGAGCCTGAGGCAGGAGGATCACAAGTGTGAGGACAACCTGGGCAATTTAGCAAGACTCTGTCTCAAAAAAATAAAAAGGCTGGGGATGCAGCTCAGTGGTAGAGAGCCCCTGGGTTTGATCCCCCGGGAGCACTGGCCTTTCCCAGCCAGTTACCCCAAGAGATCTAGATACTTATTACTAGCAGTTTATGCACTCGCTGTGACCTCAACTAAGGCCCTGTTCTTTCTGGACCTCCTCTATCTTCCCACTCAAAAAATTCTGACAGGTTAGAGGTTGCTCTGATCAAAGTTACTGAACAATGTTGGCTTCATCCTTGGAGTGGACACTCTCCTCCAAACATGATCCTGCTTTACCAAAGCATGTCCCAAGCCTGGTTCTACTGCTACCCAGCCATCAGAGAGGCTGTGACCTTTCCCTACTTCCGCGGTACTTATGGTGCACAGTAATGGTCCAGAGTAGATGCCCAGAGGATGTCAGTGGACGGAATGAAGCTCATCCTGGGATGACTGTGTGTGTGCTGAGATGGGGTACTAGCCTCCTACAGACCTTGCTCCCTATCTCTACACCTTGCCTAGGAGCAATGTTTTGGGCATCCAGAGAACACACTCACCTTGATGCCCACATAGGTGTTGTGGGCGTCAGCCCGAGCCCGCAGGTCCTTGCTTCCTCTCTTGGGCCCCAGGAAGTTGTTCAGGAACTTGGTGCTGTACTTGAGGTTGTCGCCACACACACCCCACTGCCAGGCCTGCCGGCTTTCTAGGCCTGGAGAGTCATCGCAGGTGCAGCGCTCCATTCGCCCAGCACTGCAGGCCCGGGCCAGCGCATGGGTGAGGGCAGCCGCGGACACTGCATACAGGAAGGCTGTCTCCTTGAAACCTGTGCCAGGCACCAGGGTGCCAGTAGGGAGAAAGAGGCAGTTCAGAGGCTCTCTGCTTCCCTCTGAGGACGTGAGGGGTGGTGGGGGCACCATGGTAAGCCAGACAAGGGCATTATAGCTCAAGAACATATCTCTGGGTAAGTCCCCCTGTCAGGTGCTGTTCCGACTCAAGGGAACTTCCTTATTCACTGAGGAGTCAGTGCCCAGATTCCCAGAGGGAAGCAGAACAGCAGTCACTGATTCCAATTACAGAGCTGAGATGCAGAGAGAGAACTGAGATGCAAATAGAAGAGGCTTGAGCACCTGGAAGGGGTCAAGCTGGGGCCAAAGAGCCACCTTGATTCCAAGTACATGAGTGACAAGTTGGACTAACCCATTTCTGAGGTTTCTGGTCCCTTAAGCGATGCACTGTGGGCTTCCTCTGCTTCCCAGTGCCTCTCAGACATCATTCTCTGCCATCCACGGAGGAGGTGGCCCAATGACAAGGTGGCCGTGAGTCTTCTGCCTGACCTGCCCTGGACTGGGCATCCCAGCATCTTCCAAGACCATCGCTATGCTTCCATTGCTGGGCGGTGGCCCAATCTGGCCTCTCATGGGCTCACTGATTCCCCACTGCTCCCCAAGATACTGGGTGCCGGTGGGGCCACTTGTCCTGCTCCAACCCTCTCCGGCTGTGCAGAGCAGCTGGCCTAAAGGGTGGCTGGCTGCTCCTGTCACTCTCACCGCATTTTTGTAAAAGTTTCCATTACAGCCCTTTCTAGCCACCTGGCCACACAATGACCTGTTTTCTCCCCTCCCGGACAGTACACTTTCTGAGTGCAGGTCGTCAAGTTCAGCACTGTACCTCCAGCATTTGGCATAGTGCCTGGCTCACCGAGAGCCTCTGTGTAAGCTCAGTGGGTGAGTGGATGAAGCCTGAAGGGACACAGGAACAAGGGAGGGAGGCAGGGGGAAGGGAGGGGAAGGAGGAAATGTCAACAAATTTAAGCAACAGAGAGACAAAAGGACGGGTGAACACAGGAATCATTTGACCTTGTGCATCTCGGCCGGTTGTTAGTGGCCTCCATTCTTACATGTTCCTGCACATTGTCTTCAGTGTGTATGGGAGGCATACGGGAGGCTACTAGGGCCTTGGCCTCATCTTCGGAGTGGCTTATGTCCCCTCCTTTCTGTATCTTCCCTGTTCATCTGCTCCCCCAACTCTTAGGCTGGGCCTTGGACAGCCTTCAAGAGATCTTCACAAATCTCCAGGCCTCTTCTCACTCAAGACTGGGCCCGGGGAGAAGAGCAGTGTGGACTCTTCCTTCCTCCCTCCCCATGCTCCCCAACACTCTTCCCACCTCTCTTGAGCAGGCCAGTCCTTCCCTCCAGGCTGCAGTTCCAGCGCTCCTGCTGGCACTGGAACTGGCACTCGAGTAGGCCGAGGTGTGCTGCATCCCGCAGGGTCTCAGCCAGGCCAGGTTCCCGCCTGCACAGCTGCTTCTGCCGGCGGGACAGTTTCAGCAGGTCACACTGCTTCAGGTGGGCACTGCCCTCTGTCGGGGCCACCTCGGTGCCCAGGCCTGGGAAGGACGTTAGGATCTCCCGCCCGGTCAAGCTGGAGAGGATGAGAAAAGGGAGGCATGAACCTTGGGGGTCCTGACAGGGGAGGATAAAGGATGACAATCCATGCGAATGTGGGGGGTGAAGTGAAGGGGCCTTCTTGAGATCTTCATTTATTGTCCTTGCGGGTGGCAGGCCAGCCCCATGTGGGTTATGTTCTTGCAGAGTAGGAGATCAAGATGCTAGGAAAGATCGGTGCAGAACCTTATATTCAGAATTCCCAGGTTCTAGTTTCTGCTCTTCTTCCCCAAATTTGCCCAATTTAAAAAAAATCATCAGGAAGGGCCCGGGATTTAGCTCAGTGGTTCCTCTGCCTGCCTTGCAAGCTCAAGGGCCTGAGTTCAATCCCCAGTACCAAAAAAAAAAAAAAAAAAAAAAAAAAAAAAA